AGGGAGGGAGGGAAGGAGAGAGAAACTATGGAAATATCAGTGAGGCAACTTTGAGGCTTAGGTGCTGGGCTTGGGAAATTTTTAGGGATTAAAAGTGTGAGAAAGCAAGAACGCCACAAAGCGGAAATGACTAGATCTTATTTAATACTGAGTTTTCCTACTACAGAGGATCAGAATGGCACACAACCTGCAAGACCTAGAGAACACCTAGAAACAGGAAAGCCAGAAACCAGCTGGTTATTGTGAGGAAGAAAGGCAGGAATGGCCGGGAAATTCCAATCCTGCCGTCTCTGAAAGGCCTTTCAGAACTGCCAAGATCAGGCCAGCAGATAAGGAAATCATAGTGGGCACTCAAAAAAAACCGAAGTTTACCTTGAAACAATGACTCTCAAAGATCTATTGAGAGGGACAGAAAAGAAAAAGTATTTCATATGAGTAGGCGATGGCCTCCCAGGCCATGACATGGCGGGTACACTGTGTCATTTCTGAGTCAGGGCTCTGACGCTCACCCCGAGCGATGAAATGGCTAAGTCATGCACTGTTTCTGACGCTGGGGTAAATTTTTTCTGAAGTCCCTGATGATGCAAACCAAAAATAAGAGCATGTCTCTGTAATTAGTGTAAACATAAGACAGCATCCAAACAAGGACAGCTGAGTAAAAGGGGACAGTACTAATGATTACTCACGGCAGGAGGTCGGGCCACCCCACCAAGCACCACGAAAACCAAAGAATAATGAGCATCTCACTTAATAAGGCCACACGTGGTGCAAAGTGCAGGTGGGCCTCTAGCACGTGGTGGGCTAGAGAGACAGCCCGGGAAAATCCAAAGTGTGAAGAGGCGTCGCGGGGTGGGATGGCCTGGAGAACAAGAAATAGCCTTAAAGCCATGAAGTCATAATACGCAGGGCACACCAGGTCCTCCAAAGGTGGGCTCTAAACTGCCTCTCCAGCTCACCTTCTATCATTCCTGCCTTTGAAATCTGTCTTCTAGCCACGGTGGATGTCAGTGTGTTGCCTGTGGCTCATCTGAGTTCTCTCTCTGACGTTCTTCACGCAAATGGTTTCCTCTGCTCAGAACACTCTCAGCCTCTCAGGTTTTGTCTGCCTAACCCCCCCCCCCCC